TCCAGCCTGTCCTATCCAGACAGGCCTGCGGAGACAACATGCATAATAACAAGACAGAGCAAAACCAAGCGACACTGTACAACAAAACATCAACAACATCAATCCACTGACGAAGTAGTCTTCCTTATTCAATGTCCAACTTTCACATGCATATGAGGCAATGGAGAATACCATGGCTTGGGTGAGGTGCACCTTAATCCTCAAATAACATCCTTGATCTTCAATACTCTAAAGTGGTCTTATGTAGATTTACCTAATATACCTTTTGATATCTTGACTGCTATTTCCATGAACATTGGTGGTGGATCCAATTAAGACAAAATCCTTGACTTCAACCTTTTCTCTATTGATCATGTTACCTATTGGTCCAGTTGTGAAGATTTTGGTCTTCTTCACCTTGACTTGTAATCAATACTAAAGGCTACAATCCTTCATCTTCATCAGCAAGTACTTCAAGTCTTCCACACTTTCAGCAAGCAAGGTTGTGTCATCTGCAGACCACAGGTTGTTAATAAGCCATCCTTCTATCCTGATGCTGTTTTCTTCATAGAATCCAGTTTCCCTGCTGATTTTCTCAGCATACAGATTGAACAACTATGGTGAGAGGATACACTCTGATGCACACTTTCCCTGGCTTTAAACCATGGAATATTTCCTTGTTCTGTTTCCACAACTGCCTCTTGTTCTGTGTACAAGTTCTAAATGAGCACAAGGAAGGGTTATAGAATTCCATTCCTCTCAAGGTTATCCATAGTTTATTATGGTCCACATAGTCAAATACCTTTGTATAATTGTGTCAGTCTGGGTTGACTACAGAAACCAATTCATAGGCACTCATATGTGTGTAAGAAAGAGCTTTATATAAAAGAGTAATTGTACATTAAGAAAACATCCCAGACTAGTCCAGATCAAGTCCGTAAGTCCAATATTAACTAATATGTCCAATACTAATCCATAAATTCCTCTTTAGACTCACACAGCCATGCAATTATGCCAAATGCAGGAAGATCACAGTCCAGTGGGTGAAAAGTCTTGTGTATCCAGTCTTGTGTATTAGCATCTCAATGCTGAAAGGGGTCTCCACGTGGCTCCTCCCTTTCCCAGGGCTCTAGCATAGCTCCACGTGTCTTGTCAGAAGGAATGTCTCACAGGGAGTGAGCATGTGTCCAGCCTATAGCAAGAGGTATTTATCTGCATGGTGCCTCCACATGAGGTCATCAAGCTGTGACTTGATTGGCAGGCTAAACTCCACACCTTCACTCTTAAGTCTCAAATTGACAACAGATTATGTAACTAGCACAACAATCAATGTA